CCACATTTCTCCCTAAACCTAATAATTTCTGAAAGCCAAATTCTTCTTTGCTGTTCTTAGTCCATTAACCCATAGTTGTTTGATGTTGAATAGATTGTGTCTATTAAACTAGATTGTATCTGCAGCCATTTTGACTGTGCAAATTTAGGACTTTGGTTGATGCTTGCCTTAAAATAGTGTTCTAGCACAAAATTTGTGTTACTTTCATACCAAATGGGCAGAACAATCCGAAAATCACAAGAAAAATGGCAAGTCCTGATATCTCAACTCCCACTCATGATAATCTGGTGACAGAACGGTTAGTGAATAATCGAGAGAAGAGTTCCCGAAAAGGTGTACAAACATGACTGGTAAACATGGTGAATGAAAAGATTGAAAATGTGCAAAGGACTCAGTATGAGCATGATAGGGAAAGAGAACAGGCAAACCAAAGATTAATATAGGAATCTCATGAACGTGAGGAAGCTATTCAAAGATTGATACAGGACTTGCGTGAGCAGATTGAGAACAGTCCAAGAGAAATAATGGAATTGCGTGAGCAGGCTGAGAACAGTCAAAGAGAAAGACAGGAATGATGTAAGCAGTCTGTGAACAGTCAAAGAGAACCACAGGAATTGCGTGAACGACAGGAAGCTCATCAAAGAGTAATACAGAAATTGAGAGCAGGATGAGTCTAGACAAAGATCAATAGAGGCATTCATGGAATCCATAAACAGATGGCTGAAAAAGTCAGGGAGACAACAAAGGGAATGCTGAATGGAACCCAACAGAAGGAATGGGAGTCCAAGGAAACCATAACAAATCAACTAAGTGATTTGAGAATAAACACTGAACACCAAATTAAGGAAGTAAAGAAGCTCATACAAGATCCAAAACAAAGCTCCAACAAAGAATTTGAAGCCATCAAAGCTGACCAATTAGAAGGAAAAGAAATAAAAACAAAGTAGAAAGTCTTGTCAGTAGGTTACTCCATGCATAAGATCAAATCTTGGGGATTGAAGACAGCCTAGATATTATACAGAAACAACATGCAACTATCCAAGACAAATCCAAGAAATATGACAGATCTATTGAACATTTGGAAGACAGTATCACAAAGCCTAATCTGAGGATAATGGGTGTAGAGGATCACCTAGAAACAGAAGTTAATGGTCTAGGAAATTTGTTTAACAGGATCCTAGCAGAGAACTTCCCAAACATGCAAAAAGATAGGCCTATTCAGATACAAGAAGCTTCAAGAACTCCAAATAGACCAGACTAGAACAGGACATCCCACTGTCACATTATAATCCACACAGGATCAATTCAGACCAAGGAAATGATCCTTAAAGTGGTCAGGGAGAAAAGATCAATCACCTATAAAGGGAAAGCAATTAGAATAATCTCAGACTTTTGAGCAGAGACAATTAAAGCAAGAAGAACCTGGAATGATGTGCGCCATGCCTAAAGACAAACAACTATCAACCAAGAATTCTGTAACCAGCTAAAATCTCCTGCATAAGCGAGGTCAAATAAAAACCTTCCATAGCAAAGAAAAACTGAAACAATATATCTTCACCACACCAGCTCTACAAAATATACCTAAAGATGTTCTACACATAGAAAACCAACAAGACCACAAGAAAAGGCTAAGAAACTGCACCCAAACTGAGAATCCCAGAACCATAGGAAGGACCCAGTTGCCGCATCCTTAATAAGTTGAATAAAATGGCAGGAACTCCCAAATACCTCTCAGTCCTAACTCTCAACATTAACAGACTTAACTCTCCAATTAAGCGACATAGACTGTCTTGTTGGATTAAAAAGCAAAATCTTTCTATCTGCTGCCTTCAGGAGTCACACCTTGCCCATTAAAACAAACACATTTTGAAAGTGAAAGGCTGGAACAAAATCTACCAAGCAAACGGCCCCCATAACCAAGCAGGAGTTCCAATACTAATATCAGATAAAATAGATATTTTCTTCTCTATTTTGTTTACTTCTGATTTAAATTTAATTGTTTCCATCTAGTTGTTTGGTGTTTGGATTGTTCCTGTTGTTCAAGAAGCTTAATGTTCCTCATTAAACTACTGATTTGAGATTTCTCCAATTTATTTTTGTAGGCCCTCAGAACAATAAATTTGCCTCTGAGTACAGCCTTTGTTGTGTCCCAGAAGAGTTGGTTTTTATGTGTTCATTTATGTTAAGTTCCATAAATATTTGAATTTCCCTTCCATTCCCTTCAATATCCCTTTGGCAATTCTGCAATATATTGTTCAGTCATCATGTTTTAGAGAATTTTATGTAATAGCTTTTTCATCTCAGATGTAATTGTATTCTCTTCTGACCTGTGAGGATATAGGGAATAATATCAATTCTTGAATTTGCCTTGAGACTTAATTATGATCTACTTTGGAGCATGTTCTTTGAGTTGCTGAAAAGAATGTTTATTTTGATGGTCTGGGGTCAATTATCCAGTAGATATCTGGTAAGTCTAGTTGGTCAATTGTTTAAGTCTGATTGTTCTTTGCAGAATTTATGACTAATTGATTTATCCAGTGGTGACAGTCATGTATTGATTTTACCAGCTTTCATTGTGCTTGGATCTATTTTTTAAGTGAAGAAGTTTTAGAATGAGAAGTATTTGTTTAATGAAATCAGGTGCACAATTATTTGGTGCATAGATATTTAAAATTATTACATCGTCCTGAAGGAGAGTTCCATTTATTAGTATGTAAAGTCCTTCTTTGTTTGTTCTCATTAATTTTAATTTGAAATATATTTCATCTGATAGTAGGATTGTACTCCACTCTGTTTATGTGGGCCAGTTGCTTCAAAGATTTTATTCCAGGCATTCAATTAGAGAATGTTCATTTTTGTTGACAAAATGGGTCTCTTCTAGACAGCAGATGAATGGCTATTGCTTTTGATCTAATTAATCAATCTATGTCATGTATTTGGAGTTAAGTTCATTGATCTAATTAATCAATCTATGTCATGTATTTGGAGTTAAGTTCATTAACATTGATAGTTGAGAAGTGTTTGGGAACTCTTGAAATGGTATCCAACCATTTGTTGACTGTGTCTCATCTTTTCTTACTATATTAATCTGGCTCTCTAATAAGGGGCCTTCTCTCTTCCACTACTGTGTTCTTGTTGGTTTTCTATATTTATAACATCATTAGCTATCTTTTCTGTTGCTGGTTTGGTGGAGAAAGTTATTTCAATTTTTCTTTTTACGCAGTTTTATACTTGTCCCTCAGTAATGAATGAATGCTTTGCTCTGTACATTATTCTTGTATGGTAGCTGTTTGCCAGACAACATTTCAGGCTCTAGTTGCATTCAGCTTCCAGATTAGAAATTTATATTTTCTGACAGGTTTACCTTCAGAAGCAATCAATTATTACTCTTTGATAGCTTCATGCTTCTTTTCCTTGGTTTCTATTGGTCCTGTGGAAATTACAATAAGACAGTAGTTCTGTTTTTGATCTGCTCTTGAACCTGAATGTGTCTATGTTTTTCCATAGTCAGGAACTTCTCTGCTAGAATTTGATTAAATATGTCTTCTCCTTCTTGAATGTCTAGACTTAAATCATGCAGTTTGACTGATCCCTGAAGTTCTTACTCTTTCTTGAACTTGTTCGAGAAAACTGTCTCCTCTCTTTTCTGTCTTCTGTTATGTATTCTGCTGTTAAGAACTTCTACTTTGATTTTTATTTCTTTCCTTTCTAATTGATCACTTTAACAACATCTAACTCTTACTTAAGTTTCCTTTTTTCATCATATATGGACTTTTTTACTTCCTTGATTTTTCTGTCTTCTCTCATATACTTTGCCGGGAGACTATATTTTCATTGGACCCCTTTCTATCTTGTGATCTTCATTAGGCTTCTCTTTGTAGATGCTATGCATTCTTCTAATAATTTTTATTTAGTCTTCTCATGCGCACGTAAACATATTTTTGCTGTGATTTTAAAGCCTTTTAAGAGCTATCTTCCTGGTCCTTCATTGTCTTCCCTGTAACATGGGTTTTCCTGTAAGAATTAAGCTTCCTTTATTTGTCATTTTTTCTTGTATTTCAATTGATACTTTCTATCCATTTCAAATCATTTGTATGTCTATTTTGCCTCTATTATTTCCTTCTTTGAACAATGTGTGTTGATTTCATTATATTAATTTCTTTACAATGTACACAGACAGACTTACCATTGCACAAAATGACATGACAAAAGAAAAAGAAAAGTACTTTGCTCCTCTTTACTCCTGTATATTCTTTTCTTCCCAGTATCTCAATCTAAATGTATTCAGATGTTAGTACTGATTAGTGCAATTTCCCATTGTAGCCTTGAAAGGTGTATTTCAATGCATAGGTTCCTCACAGTTCTTTCTTTATCCCCCATGTTGGAGGTTCCTCTCCATAATGATTGCTTTGGAGTTGGATAGCAGCCTATAGTTTTATTACATAAATAAGAATAAAATTCCTTTATCTTATATGTAAGCTCTTATTCTGGTTAACAGTTCAGGAAGAGCTATTCATTGTGTTGGGTCTGTGAGCAGAGCTTCCTATAGAAATAATCTTCATTATATGAAGTTTTGTCTCTGAAAGATGCTCTTAAATTGACAATATCTCATTTAGCTGCACTTGCAATATAATCACACAACATAAATCAGGTGACTTGAAACACAAGATTTTTTACACAGGTGGAGATAGTCACCCAGGGTGAGGAGAACAGAAAATTTGGTGTCTCATGAAAGCCTACTCCATGTTTAATGAAACATTTTGGTTGTGGTCCAAGTATGTGGTAGTGGAGATTAAACAAATTCTTTCTCATCTTAACCAAGTTTCTGGATGTTATTCATACAAATTCCTTTCATGCCCTTACATAATCCTATACACTCTCATTCCATCCCAATTAGGGATAATATTTTAACATATTCATTGGCAGAGAAGTGAAGCATTCACTTCAAAATAGTCGTAAGTTTGAAATACTCCGTCTGAATTTCTATGTTCACTATGCAGGTTTACTTTCAAGAACTACCAGTTTGTTTTGGCCTTGGCTTTTGCTATTGAAGAGATCAACAAAAACCCTGATCTTTTACATAACTTGACTCTGGGATTTGATATCTATGACGTTCAATATGGAACAAGGACAACATTTAAAAATCCCTTCATTTGTCTCTTTGGAAAGTACAAGATTCCAAACTATAACTGTATGAGAGAGAACAAGTCAATAGCAGTACTTACAGGAATGTCAGGAGCACTGTCTACCCAGATTGGGACACTGCTGGACCTGTACAGGTTTCCACAGGTGAGAGTGGGTAGGGTGGGGATATTAAAAATGCCTAATTTGGTTCTACTTCAGGTATTGGAAAAGAATGATAGAGACTGGATTTATGAACCACTAAAATTATCAAACAGTGAATATACAAAAAATGGGATATCTATAGTCCTATTGACTTGGAAAAAGATATGGACAACTTTGAGCAGATAAAGGGCTTGTTTTAATGTGTGTTTTTTTTAAAGTGTTAGGCATTATCATTAATTTTCTTTAAAAAGTCAGGAAACAAAAAATGACATTAAAGTTTCAAAATATGTTGAGCCAGGTACTGGTGGATCACATCTGATATCATAGAGAATCAGGAAATGTATTTCTAATTAAGTAAAATAAAGCAGGCAGTATTATGTGGTTCAAGTGGTAGAGTGTTAGATTTTAGGGAAAAAGCCAAAAAGTATATGAAGCCCTGAGTCCCTGGCCCTTTACTACCCCCCACCCCATGTATGATCATGTACAAGATATACTGAAAGCAGTCAGGCTTAGAAATAGAAAGGAGGTATATGTTCCTCATATATAATGTAAAGACGAAATAAAAGTATGCCCTTCAAAGCAGAAGTCACACCAATATCCCCTCAACTAATCAATGAAATTAAAAGTGAAAATTCACTACCAAACTATTTCTATGAAGCCATCATAACCCTCAGCACAAAACCAGGCAGAGACTCTTCAAAGAAACTATAGACCATTTTTTTTTGATGAACATGGATGCAAAACTTCCTCACAACATCAAAAAAATCATACACTAGGATCAAACAGGATTCATTTAAGGAATGTAAAGCTGGTTCAATATATACAAATCAATTTATATAATTCATCACATCAACAAGAGCAAAAAGAAACACATGATTATCTCAATAGATGCAGAAAAAGCATTTGACAAGATCCAACATCCCTTTATGATGAAAGCTCTGGAAAACGTAGGAATCCATGGAACATTCCTCAATATGTCAAAAGCTGTGTATGAAAAATCTACCGCCAGCATTATTCTTTTCTTTCTTTTTCTTTTTGCTGATCATGGGGCCTGAACTCGGCCTGGGCACTGTCCTCAGCTCTTCAGCTCAAGGCGAGCACTCTACCACTTTGAGCCACTGCACCACTTCCAGCTTTTTCTGCTTATGTGGTGCTGAGGAATCAAACCCAGGGCCTCATGCATGCAAGGCAAGCACTCTACCACTGAGCCACTTTCCCAGCCCCAGCATCATTCTTAATAATGAAAAGCTCTAAATTCAGGAAGGAGGCAAGGATGTCCACTCTCTCCCATTCTCTTCAATTTAGTATTAGAATTCCTAGCTAGAGCAATAAGCAAACATAAAAGGAATCCAAATAGGGAAAGATGAAATAAAACACTCCCTCTTCTCAGATGATAATGATCTTGTATTTAATGAACTCAATGGACTCCCCTCCGAAGTTACTAGAGCTGATCTGAAACTTTTGCAAAGAAGCACGGTATAAAATTAAACCTCAGAAACCAATGGCTTTTATGTATGCCAATAACAAGTAGAATGTGGCTGAAATGAGGAAAGCAACTCCTTTTGTAATAGCCAAACAAAATATAAATCACCTAGGAGTTAACTAAAGAAGTGAAAGACCACTATGATGAAAACTTTAAAACCTGAAAAAGGAAATTAAAGCAGAAGTAAGGAAGTGGAAAGATTTCCCATGCTCCTGGATTGGGAGGATTAACATTGTAAAAGTGGAAATACTGCTAAAGGTTACGTACAAATTCACTGTGATACCCATCTATATCCCAACGTCATTCTTCAACCAAATAGAAGTAGCAACTCCAAAATTCATATGGAACAATAAAAGACCCCAAATAGGAAAAACAATCCTTAGAAGAAAGAAAAGTGCTAGAGGAATATCAATATAAAATTTCAAACTCTACTACAAAGCCCTAGTAATCAAAACAGCTTACTACTGGTACAGCTTGGTACTGGCACAGGAACAGAGTTGAAGACCAATGGAATAGAGCTGAAGACCCAGAAATGAACACTCAGACCCATACCCACCTAATCTTTGATAAGGGTGATAAAAATAGAATGCAAGAAAGACAGCCTCTTCAGGAAATGGGGCTGGCAAAATTGGTTAAACAACTGTAGAAAAGTAAAGCTAGACCCATATATATCAGTCTGCATCAGAATCAACTCCAATAAGATCAAAGAGCTCGAGGTAAAAGCAGACACTCTGAAAACATTACAGGAAGGAAGAGGCAGCTCTAGGGCTCCTTGGCACAGGCTGAAAATTTCTTAATAAAGAACCAGAAACACAACGAAAAAAAGGGAAGGTCTGGACAAATGGGATTGCATGAGACTGCAGAGCTTTACATGGCAAAGCATATAGCTAGCAAGATCAATAGAATATACACAATGGAATTCTATGTCTCCATCAGAAAGGATTACATTGCCCCATTTGTTAGGAAATGGAGACTTGGAAAAAATTATATTAAGTGAAGTAAACCAGGTCCAAAGAAACATAGATCCCATGGTTTCCCTTATTTGCAATTACTAGTATATGTCTGAGACAAGCAGAAACTGTCAGACAAGTTGATGTTAGGTGAAATGAACCCCACGATAAGGACTCAAATGTTTTTTTCTTTCTTGCTATTGTTTCTAACATATTTACAATATAATTTCTTTGTTGCTTTGTATGTCCCTCGCCCATGGTATAACTCCTATTTTCACTGTATTTGATGTTGGTATAATTTGGGGAGGGGAAGGGAAAAAACAAATGGTTTAAATATGGATACAGGTGGACCCATCGCAACAACGAGATGTACAAGATGTTATGCCCAAAAACGTACTTTACAACTTTGGTGGTGGGGGGAGATAAGGGAGGAGAGCTGGGAAGGCAGGATGGTAAGGGAAAACAAAGGAGGAGGCAACAATGCTTGATAAGAAATATACTCATTACCTTGCTCATGTAATTGTAACCGCTCTGTTACAGTATTTTCACACAAAAAAACTTAATAGAAAAAAAGTTCATGGATTGGGAGAAGATCTTCACTAGCCATATAACAAACAAGGTCTCACATCTAAATTATGCTTAGAACTCAAAAAATTATATCCCCCCAAAACAAATCCACAAAGAAACAACCATGTTTTTAATAAGTAGGCTAAAGACTTAAAGACAGATTTATCTGGAGAGGAAATAAGAGTGGCCAATAGACACACGAAGAAATGCTTAAGTTTTCTAGCCATAAAAGAAATGCAAATCAAAACAACATTGAGATTCCGGTTCATCCCAGTTAGAATGGCTATAATCAAGAAATCTAATAACAACCAATGCTGGAGAGGATGTGGCCAAAAGTGAACACTCCTCCATTGTTGGTGAGAGTATAAGCTTGCTTAACCAGTTTGGAAAGCAGTATGGAGGTTCCTCAAAAGAGTCCACATTGAGCTCCCCTATTATCCAGTAATCCCACTTTTGGGCATTTATACACATGATAAAAAACATGGCCATACTAAAGATACCAGCACAACTATGTTTATTGAAGCATTATTCACTGTAGCTAAGATATGGAACCAACCCAGATGCCCCACATATATATGTATGTATGTATATATATATGTATATATACACAACTATGTATATATACATATATATGTGTATACACACACATATATGTATATTCTGAATTCTATGTCTCTATCAGAAAGAATGACACTGCTCCATTTGTTAGGAAATTGAAAGACTTGGAAAAACTCATATTAAGGAAGTAAGCCAGGCCCAAAGAAACATAGGTCCCTTGGTTTCCCTTATTTGCAATATGTAGCATATGTCTAGAACAAACAGAAGAGATCAAAAGCTATGTACATTTGGCCATATTAGATGATGCTAAGAGAAATAAACCCCAAGATAGGGACACAAGTGGTTTTATTTTTCTTGCTGTTATTTTTAATGTACCTATAATGTAGTATGTGATTATTTTGTTTCTTTTGATGCTCTTCTTCCATGTTATAACCACTGCTTTCACTGTATTTGATTCTGATGTCCTGCATCTTGTAATAAATAATAAATTACTGAAATAAGAATGCAGGGTGAGTCAGTGTAGCAATAAGATGTACAAGACACAATGTTGAAAACAAACTTTACAACTTCTTGGGTAGTAGGGAGGAGTTGGGGAGCTAGGGAGGGAAGGGATAGTAGGGGGAAAACAAAGGAGCGGTAATAATGCTTGGTAGATAATGTACTCATTACCTTACTCATGTAACCCCTCTGTACATTATCTTTACAATAAAAATGTATTTATAAAACAAATAAAGTATAACTATGAAATATAAAAATATATGGAATGCACACATATATATACACACACACAAACACACACAATCAATTTGACTCAATTATGGCACATATCAGACTAAAATTTCATGGTGTAACCTCTCTGAAAAACAGAGAGTATAAAAAATGAACAACAGAAAACTGAAGATTATCTTCTCTGATAAGGGGGTATATGTTAAGGAGATGTGGAAAGGGGCAAAGGAATAAGGAGTACATGGGTGGGCAAATACAACATGCTATTCAATGTACCTATGTAGAAATGCAATTAGTAAACTCAGGGAGGTGGATGTAGATGATAGGAGTTGATGGAAACAGCAAGAAAGATCAAGAGACATAGTACAAACAAAATGATACATTGCAGAATAATTTAAAATTAAAAATATTTCTAAAAAAATTAAAAGAATAATGTACCTTCCATCTAGTTTACATAGTTACAAAATATATATCACGACTGAAATTATGTTGGACGGAAGTCTTCTCATTCCTAGTGTCCTATTTTCATTCCCTTTAGATTACCTCTGGGCCTTTTGATCATGCCCTGAGCAACAACAACAAGTTTCCTGCTCTCTATCAAGTGGCCCCAAAGGACACATCGATAGCAACTGCCATGGTCTTATTACTGCTTCACTTCAGCTGGAATTGGGTGGGACTAATAACCTTAGAGGATGAGAATGGTTTGTGGCTTCATCCTGCATTGAAAGAAGAGATGGCCAAGAACAGAGTTTGTGTAGCTTTTGAGGTAGTGATCCTAAATTTTGCCTTGTCTTATGCATTAAAATTTATGGCACATTATAACCAGATTAATAAATCTTCAGCCAATGTCATCATCACATATGCTGATAATGAATCCATACTACAGATTATAATGTGTGCTGATCAATTTTTAATAGAAGGGAAAGTTTTTATCATGAACTCAGAGTGGAATTTAACCATGAGAAAAAGATATTTTATTCTAGGTTCATTCCATGTACCTCTCATTTTTGCACACCGTCACCCAGATGTTTCTGGATTCACAGATTTTATCAAAGCAGTTAACCCTTCCAAGTACTCAGAAGACTTTTTCCTTTCCAGGCTGTGGTTTCTCTCTTTTAATTGCTCAGATTCTAAGCCTGACTGTATAATATGGGAGAACTGTCCTCATGATGCCTCCTTGGATTGGTTGCCTGGACACATTTTTGACATGACTATGTCTGGAGACAGTTACAATATATACAATGCTGTGTATGCTGTGGCCCAGGCTCTCCATGAGATGCTTCTTCATCAAACAGAAGCAAAAACAATGGGAAATAGAAAAGGGACATTGTCTTCCCCCACACAGGTAAGGTCTTCTGTGTTGGATGGCACACACCAAGAAGAAAGTCACTTCATAGAGAGGTTTCTTACTGTATGAAATCAAATATTTCAGGAATTTTCCCAAAACTTAAGAAATTATATTGCTTTAAATGAATTTGAGATTATTTAGACATGTGTTCATGTGCACCTCAGAAAAAGCAGGTCAGGAACAAGGACAAGATGTATTCCATATTTCTAAAAATTGTTTTAACTACAAAGAGTTTAAACATGCTAATTGGTAATGTTTTGAGAACTGTGAAATCACTGTTTCCCTCTGCATTTCTTAAGTAATTGCAGACAATGAGCTCCTACACATAATTATCTTATTTGTCATAAGTGATTCAATTTTATTTTACATTGCATATTAAAAATTTACCAAGCTCAATCTATAGACATTCACAGAGTTAGTGAATGTGGAAAATTGTAGTTAGGCAACTGAGAATTGTCTCCTTCATGAACATGGAACTAGGTTTCTCTTGAAAAGAGGACTTCTCTTTCCATGCTGAGTGACTACGATTCAGAAACATTACATTTACTCCTCCATGGATTGGGATACTTAAGTGTCTCTGCCATTTTCATATTCTGAATCAGAAATTTAAGGCAACCGGGAGCTCATCTTCACATTTTTCATATTAAATCTGGGATGTACTTCTTCTCCATAATATGATGTTTCTCTTTTAGATGCATCCTTTTCTAAAGAACATCCAATTTCACAATCCTGCTGGAGATCAAGTGATTTTGCATGAAAAAAGGAAATTGGAGGCAGAGTATGACATTGTGAACAGTTGGAAATTTCCAGAAGGTCTTATGCTTGAAGTGAAAGTAGGAAAGTTTTCTCCATACTCACTACATGGCAATCAACTATCTTTATCTGATAATATGGTAGAGTGGTCCATAGAAAATACAGAGGTGTGTTGGATCACTTTGTAATGATTTTAAGGACATATAAGTAAGTGAAATTCAACTTAAAATTTGTACCTGGTTGTGTGCCAGGAACTTACTCCTGTAATACTAGCTACTTAGCTGGCTGATATGTAAATATCATGTTTTCAAATCAGTCCTAGCAGAAAATCCTGTGAGACTCATCTCCAATTAATCATCAATAAAGCTGGAAGTGGATCACCCATTAGGATGTTGGCCTTAAGCAACAAAGCTCAGATACACAGTCTAGCTTCTCAGTTCAAGACTTAGTTGTGGCACACATACAAACACACACACACACACACAAATTTGTAGATTATATGCTTACTAACAGCCAAGTATTATACATTTAAATATTTCCACCTTAAGAAACTGTATGCACTGACTGTTGGATAGGAAAGGAATAGAATAATTTAACAGGAATGGTCTTTGATGGCTCAGGTTTGATGGCTCAAGTTTGTAATCCTATCTACTCACTAAGCTGACAAACTAAGATCTAAGATTACAGGTCTGGCTAATGCTCAACTGGGGAGAAAATCTCTGAGACTCTTATGTCAGATAAATAACAAAAATCTCAAGTGCAGATTTGGTTCAAGTGGTAGAATGCTACTTTTGAAGGAAAACAATCTCTCAAGAGCAGTACCCAGGCTCTGAGTTTAAGCACCAGGATCAACTTAAAAAAAAAGTTAACAGTGTGGTTCTAAAGGATTATTGAGCATGTTATCATAAAATATAAATTGGATTTTTCTAAAGTTTCTATGCTGTGACAAAGTACAAAAGGAATCATTTTCTCTGTTTTAAAGGTTTATTTTGCTCCATCTTAAGGTAGTTCCATTAAATGGTTAGTTGCCTACTACTTAATCATCTAAGTAGTGAAGGAGTCTGAGCAAGACAAGATTCTCACCTCATAGTCACTGGAAAAATAAGAAGATATGATGGGCCTGGGGTTAAACAACCCTAGCAAAAGGAGGCCTGTGCAATATCTTACAACATCATTCAAACAATTCAGAGGATTCTTCCTCTTTACACCTCTTCAGTCACAAATGAGTAGAAGAGAATTAATAATCACACGAATTCAAAGAAAATCTGCAGGGCAAGCCACTAGGACTTATTTTCTCACCATTAACTTTCACCATTTTAAAAAAGATTTTATTTATTTATTTATTTTTACAATCAGTTCTGATTTTCATTTTAAAATGTTTATGCATTGAAATTGTTTAAAAAGTTAAAGACAGACTTACAGAATTTTTAAATTGAAACATATGTTTACATATATGTCTACATGTATTTGCTTATCTTTTTAGTTTTCTTTTTTTTTATTGTGAAAATACCGTACAGAGGGGTTACAATTAGTATAACCCCTGTTTTCACTGTATTTGAGGTTGGTATTTATTTATTTTAAACTTTATTATTATTATTTTTTTTTGTGGGTTATGGTGTTTGAACCCTGGGCCTGGGCACTCTCCCTCAATTCTTCAGCTCAAGCATAGCATTCTACCACTTGAGCCACAGCGCCACTTTCAGCTTTATCTGCTTAGGTGGTGCTGAGGAATTGAACTCAGGTCCTCATGCATGCAAGGCAAGCACTCTACCACTGAGCTACTTTCCAGCCCCCAACTTCTACCTTTTAAAGGTCTTACACTTCTCAATAGTTCAACAGTCTAGATAAAGATCAAGGGTACAGCTCATATGCCTTTGTGGTATGGTGTGAAATCTATAGCAGCATTCACTTAACTAACCAGATTTATGTACATAAAATAATGTGCTTAACAATCCTATCTTTTAAAATAATGGGATTTTTGGAATGTCAGGTAAAAGTTTGTACAGTTACTGACATGTATCTGATTTTTCTTAGCCTCCTCTCTCTGTCTGCAGTGAGAATTGTGGTCCTGGATTCAGAAAATCCCCTCAGGAGGGAAAGGCTGCCTGTTGCTTTGATTGTACCCATTGCTCAGAGAATGAGATGTCTAATTGGACAAGTAAGTTCATGACTTACTTGTACTTATAATGTACTATGTCATTTTTTTGTTTCTGTGGTATGTTACTCACCCACAGTATAAGCCCTGTTTTCACTGTATTTGATTCTGGTGCCCTGCATCTTGTATATACACTGTCCTAATTTTGGGAGGGCAAGGGAAAAAACAAAATGCTTAAATAGGGATACAGGTTGACCCATTGTAACAATGAGATATACAAGATGCTATGTTGAAAACGAACTTTACAACTTCAGCAGTGGGGGGACTGGAAGAGGGAGTAATTGGGGAGGAGGAAAGGATGGGATGTTAAGGGAAAAACAAAGGAGGAGGCAACAATACTCGCTATGATGCTCATTATTTTACTCAAGTAACTGTAACCCTTCTGTTCAGTATTTTTACAATAAAAATGTATTTAAATAGAATTACCTCTGTAAAGGGATTTTAAATTGTTTTTAAGTACTGAAAAGCAACTAATATTTATTTGACTTCCTCACAAGATATGGAGCAGTGTATGAAATGTCCAGATCACCAGTACGCCAACACAGAGAGAAACCAGTGCCTCCTAAAAACTGCAAGTTTCCTGGCTTATGGAGAGCCTTTGGGGATGGGCTTGGCCTGCATGGCTCTTTGTTTATGTACACTCACAGCAGTTGTTCTTGGAGTCTTTGTGAAACATCACAACACCCCCGTTGTCAAGGCTAACAACCAGACTCTCAGCTACATCCTGCTCATCTCCCTCATCTTCTGTTTTCTCTGTCCCTTGCTTTTTATTGGCCGTCCAAACACAGCCACCTGCATTCTACAGCAAACCACATTTGGACTTGCATTCACTATAGCTGTTTCTGCTGTCTTGGCCAAAACTGTAACTGTGGTTCTGGCTTTCAAGGTCACATCTCCAGGGAGAAGGATGAGGTGGCTACTGCTATCAGGGGCTCCTAACTTCATCATTCCCATCTGTACTCTGATCCAGGTGACTCTCTGTGGACTCTGACTGGGGATTTCCCCTCCCTTCCTTGACACAGATGCACATTCTAAATTTGGCCATGTGATAATCCTGTGTAACAAGGGCTCCCTCACTGCTTTCTACTGTGTCTTGGGATACCTGGTTTTCCTGGCCCTGGCCAGCTTCACTGTGGCTTTCTTGGTCAGGAACCTGCCTGATATCTTCAATGAAGCCAAGTTCCTGACCTTCAGCATGCTAGTGTTCTGCAGTGTCTGGCTCACTTTCCTGCCTGTTTACCACAGTGCCAAGGGGAAAGTCTTGGTGGCTACAGAGGTTTTCTCCATCTTGGCTTCAAGTGCAGGACTCCTGGGCTGCATCTTTGCCCCCAAGTGCTATATCATTTTATTAAGGCCTGAAAGAAATTTTCTGCATGGCTTCCGAGATAAAACCCACATTGGTAGAAGTAAGCCCTCTTAAGATATGTCATCAAATATGTAGAAGGCTGAGGCTAAATTCTACATTCTTTTTTCCCCCATCACATAATAGTTTATATTGTTGGAATCAATTCAATGAATAAGTGACATTCGTTTCTCTAGTAATGGTACAGTCACAAGTTGTAGTCCAAGACAGGTAAGTTTGAATTTCATTATATAGACTTTAGTTTTTTTCCATTTACTCTGCAGTTATTCAATCAACTCCACTAGTATATTTTCACCATTTCTAGTTTTCTAATTGTGCTTTCTCAATCATTTTCTTTTTTGTTGCTAGTCAGTCCTGGGTCTTGAACTTAAAATCTTTGTACAGTTCGTGAGTTTTTGTTGTTTTATTTTTTTCTCAAGGCTAGTGCTTCACCTCTTTTGATTCTGTGGTGGTTAAATGGGAATAATATTCTCCTGACTTCCCTGCCCAGGTTGGCTTTACACCATCATTACCAGATCTCTGCTTCCTGTGTAGCTGGGTCTTATGCACATTTTTCTAAATTTTACAGTACATTATCTTCTTGCTTGTAAATCATTATTCTTCTTAATCACAGCTCATTAATACTTTTCTCTTTTAAAAGTTCCAAGATATCATATACTCATCAGAGTGTATTTTGCTTAATAGTTGGGTATTTCCATTCTCACATTCACCTTTCCATATTCCTTGATCTGTTTTATTGGAATAGGCTCTCGATTCCATTCTCTTTCTCTCTCTTTGCTTTCAGTGCTTTTCTTCTTCCTGACCTCTCTGCTTTCTCTATATTATTTTAGAATTTCGTGAATGGGTTTTATATGCTACAAAATATATTTCAATTGGATAGAATAATGTATTGGCTTTATGAAATAATAGCTGACAAAAGTAGAGATTCATAATATGTTACTTTCCCATGGCTGAATATACGTTCACCCTATTCTTGTTTAATCACAATAAAATATAATACATAGAAAATTGTATATAAAATCTGATTAGATATAGTTTTTCATTGTTTTGTTTTCAATTGGTGTTATGTCTCTTAATAAGAATTAAATATTACTTTTCTAATATTTTAATTTTATAAGAAATGATTATTCATTAATAACAGACTGAATTATTGGTTTGTATACTATGTTTAAAGAAAAACATAACTATTGAAGACATATGGCCACATAATGGCACACTTTTCTGCTCTCTTCTATGGTTCATTTCACCTTCCTTTCTTCTGACATTTGTATTCTGTTTTTGAAAATTTATTTTTATTATCTTTTATTAATTTTACAAATGTTTTCAATTCATCGTGCCAAGTTATGAATGCAGTGACATTTGATTTCCACTACACGAATGATAATATGCTAACAATGGATTTCTATTGCTTTAGCTTTAAATTGAAATCATTAGCCAAAGAAACCTGGCATAGTGTCTAGTTCCTTTGAAAAACATACTACTTAGCAAATATTCTTAGGTTATTAGTATTTTTAATGAGATGGTCAAAATACTTCAGGTTCTATTAAAGTTTATATTTTATCTTTCTTCTTGATTTAATAATTTCATCAATAAAATTGTACAATCATTGACTAGTAAAACACTGATTATGCATTCAGTAGCAAGCAGTTAAGACTCATCACAATATAAGAAATCCCCAACTATATAAAACTTATCACTGTACAGGTGGACCTGTTGCAACAATGAGAAGTACAAGTTGTCATGTCCAAAACGAGCTTTACAATGTCGGTGCGAGGGGGGGGAAGGGGGGGAAGGAGAAGGATTGGGATTGGGGGGGAGGGGGGAGGCTGGGAAGGGATGCGAAGGGTAAACCAAAGGAGGAGCCTGCAATGCTTGGTAAGAAATGTACGCATTATCCTGCCCATGTAATTGTAACCCCTCTGTACAGTATGTTCACAAATAAAATTAAATTAAATTTAAAAAAAAGAAAAAAAAGACTTTGGGGAGAAAAAAAAAACTTATCACTGCACTGGTGATAACAACATGTACTGATGGATCACTGAAATGCTATCTATTCAGGAATCTGAGATCTGAGTGTGTTGTTTTAAGGCCAGCCTTGGTAGGAAATCCATGAGACAATTTTCTCCAATCAACCGTTACAGCATCAGAAGTGGAGCTGTTGGTAAAATGGTTAGAGTGCCAGCTTTGAGCAAAAAAAAAAGATCAGTACCTATATCCTGAATTCAAACTCCATCACACCTGCCTCCCCCCCCCCACAAAAAAGACACAGATAAGCACTAAGTTCTATTACATGAAATCCTTAAAAACAAGAATAGGGAAATTAATTAATTCAAAACATACAAAGAGGTTTGTTCATACTTTTAAAGACTCTAAAACCTATAAAACCTATACCTGAGCATAGCAGCCCTGAAAGATGTCCTGGCTATGGACTGCAGGACTCCTAATGTTGTTGCTTGTAGATCACTATGATTCATGCTTACTATTAAGCTGTTGTCAAAGAAAAGACCCTGGAAATGCCAATGCATAACTACAGCTTTCTAAGCAAACATTGGCTGCTACTTGACCAGTTTTTCAAGGAGAACAACAAGTCAAACCATTTCTATCTGATCAACACCAACTATCACATACTTAAGAACGTGGTTACCAGGAAATTTGAGAAGAGCACACAATTTTTGCAGTACTTATACCTCTCTTTAATATTGTCTGTTAAAATGAAGAATTCACCATATATAGGTATGTTTGCTGGAGGATAGTTGTTGGAAGATAAGAAAACATTATTAGTCCTCTATTCTTCAAGAAAAGCAATGCAATGCAGTGAAAGTATCATTGTAGTTGCTACCCAAATTAGCAGATAGTAAGGGCTTTAGACACAAAAACAATAAGACGAAGCCATGGCAAAGGATTCAAGGCCATAGCAACTACCTGATGAGGACTGAACAAAAGTAAAAAGTTGCCAAGTAAAAGTAATGTATGCATCATACTTACAATCTGGAAGTAAATCCTACATTCTGACATACTTATTTTGGAACACCATTACACACACTCTTTTGGTCATTCCAAATATCCTTTTAAGTGACAACTGAAAAATCTAATCTCACCTCTTCTGCCTCAATTATTCTACCTAAAAAGAAGGAAAGGTAAAAGGAAATATATGGAGTGTACTTCCTTTCCTTACTCCAACTAGTTACCCTGCCTCTCTAAAAGAAAAACCTCTAACATTGTTTTCTTAGAAGAGAGACTTGAAAAGTCTGTGTAAAAGTTTGGGAGGAAATATGTTATAATATAGTACTAATCAGGGTCTGGAAAATACATTGTATTCACTAGTCTCCCACATTGTACTTACAGTAAAACTGTAATAAAGATTTATGGAGAACATTTCATTCAGAAGTAGTGATTCTTTGGAATGAACTTAAAACTTTCATGTCCAGTTTAAAAGTAGGACAAAAAAATGAACTTATGGTCTAAGTTTAGATGAATAGTTTATATTGAATTGCAAACACAGGGATTTTGAATCTTATGTTTTCTTAAAGGTTGCAGCACACAGACTTAAACATCCCTGATTTTAAATAAAAAGTTTTATACTAAGTAAATAATAAAAAAAATTCTGTACCATGTGGTCACACTGATATACACAGAAAATTACCTGAATACTGACACTAGGGAGAAAAGGAAATGAATCCAGATTGAATATTTGGGGTTTTGCCTAAGTTCTGCTATAAAATGTAACAGATTAAAACCTTAAATCCTTAAAGCCTTAAAACTGCAGAAATTTCCACAACCACAGATTCCTACATTGAAAAAAGGGAACATAAGGTCCGAATTTATGACACTTTTCTGACATCCCCTTTCCGATGGCAATGGAAAATAAACTATGAAAATGAACATAAATTTGAATAATGAAAATAGGAAATAATTATTAATGAAAATGAAACAATTTTTGACAAATCTTGGACACAAAGCGAATTTGATAACACTTCCTAGCAACTGACAGAAGTGTGATGAATGTGCTCAGAGGCACTATGGTAAGAAAAAAACCCATAGTAACAAGATTAGGTTCGCATAAGAAGTAGCAACAAAGCCTTGGAGATCAACAAAAGCACCATAGAGAAATTATGTTTTTGCTGGACACTGGTGGCTCATCCCTGTAATCCTAGTGCCTCAGGAGGCTGAGATCTGAGAATCACGGTTCAAAGCCAGACCGTATTCAAGCTACCAGCACAACTATGTTCATGGCAGCAGTATTCACCATACCTAAGATATGGAACCAACGGATCAAGAAAATGTGGTATATATATAAATAAACGGAATTCTATTCCTCCCTTAGAAAGAATAACAGTTACGAAATAGAAAGACTTGGAAAAAAATCATATTAAGTGAAGTAAGCTAGGCCCAAAGGAACATAGGTCCCATGGTTTCTCTTATTCTCAATAAATAGTATATGTCTAGGACAAGCAGAAAAGGTCAAAAGCTAAATATATATAAATATATATATATATGTGCATATGTGCATATATATATATATATATATATATATATATATATATATATATATATATATATGATCATACGAAATGAGGCTAAGCAAATTGAACCCCAATATAGGAACACAAGAGATTTTATCTTTCTTGCTATAGTTTTTAATGTACTATGTGAATTTTTTTGTTTCTTTCATATGTTCTTCTCCCATGGTATAACCCCTGTTTTCACTGTAATTAATTCTGGTGCTCTACATCTTGTATATACATTTTTCTAATTTAGGGAGGGGAAGGAAAATTTTAAAAAGCTGAAATAAGGGTACAGCTTGACTCATTGTAAAAATGAGATGTACAAGACACTATGTTGAAAATGAACTTTATATCTTTGTAGGGGGAGGTAGGAGTTGGAGACAAAAGCATGATCTTTTATGTAACTTGACTCTGGGATTTGATATCTATGAGGTTCAATATGGAACTTGAACAGCATTTAAAGATCCCTTCATTTGCTTCTTTAGGGAGTACAAGATCACTAACTACTCTTTTTTTATTGTGAAAATACCATACAGAGGGGGTTACAATTTC